GACTCGCTTGTTCTGCTCTGTCTAACGTAGTCACGGTTACCACGATTTGTGCTGCCCATGTCCTTCTTCATTCATCAAACAACAACGAGGGGAACATTGACCCGTTCCTGATCGTGATGCGTTGAGTTGGTAAGGCAATCTAGGGCTCCTATTTCGAAGGCGCAGACCATCTAGACAATTTCCAAAAGAGTGATGAATCAAGCCGAACCACAGCCGCGTGACGCGTGGTCGGCGCCTAAGCCCGCGTGAGCCAGCACTTTCCCCACACTGCCCCCGCGTAGCCGAAGTAAAAGTTCCTTCACCCGTAGCCTGCATAGAAGGTCGCCAAAATGACACCAACCCAAGCAGTACGAAAACACATCAAGTGCGTTTGTCGCTTTGCATGTGGCCTAGGTCAGTGAGGGGGGTTGGGGGTGGGGGTCCAGGCCATGAAAAGCACTTGGGGCACCCTGTACACTCCCACGTGGTTACGCGGGTATCACATGTAGAATCCCACATGATTTCGCTCGGATGCATGCGGCGTGCAACCTTGGGTGCTTGTGTCAGGCTGCACGCTCAAGGGCTTCCTTAGTCACTCAGCCAGTCGCTCAAGAAGGCCCGATTTTCAACTCCATCAAGCTCATACAGCGGATGCATGATGACGCACGTTGCACGTTGCATGCTCCAAAGGTACATCGCCCATCCCTCCGGCCGCAGTGAGCTCACATTGTATGTCTCCGCATTTCTTGGCTCTTGGCCGCTGAGCCACTTGCTTATTCTTTGCATGTCTTTTGAAATCTCAGGCTCCCGCCAGGCTCGTTTCGGCAAACGCCTTGCGAGCACTGGAGCCAATGCTGCAGGCGCGGAGCCGAGGGGAAGATCAACTACCGAGTTTAATTTGAGCACTGCACCCTTCAGGATGTTGCGGATTTTGGTCGCTGCCTCATCTGCAACGATACACAAGTCGAATCTGCCCACCGGACACAGGTTTATTCAAGACTGCCGTCAAGTAGTCATGAAGACTATTGCAAGCCCTTCTGAGTTGCATCATATGCATCAGCTTTTGGCTTCGCAGTGCTTCAGGTTCTGAAGATGGATCTTGTTCTATTTGTCTAGGCGCCGACCTCAGACGTGCACAAAATCGCTTAATGTGAGGCAGCCAAAGTTGCGGTTAGGACGTTCAGGGGGACGGACCTACTTTGCACATGCGCCAGAGCAACTTCGCAGACCAGTTCCAGACCAAATCCTCCGCAGCCGGCTCAAGAGACGTGCCCGGCATCAGCAGCAGGCCATGGCATCTTGCCAGCACGAGCTCGTACAAGTAGATCGCACGTGGGTATCAATCGGTCATCTCAATCATTGCCGGATGTTCTTCGACATACTGTGAAACAGCCAAGGCGCGACTGATGTTGCCACTGGCCGCAGCTTGTTTGAAACAGAAAGCTCACAAGAAGATATTCTTGAGATCTGCTTGAGTTCTGCCCATTTCTACCATCCCTTTCCACACAGGTCCTGGCCGCACTGGCCACACTGGTGTCTACTCTGGCCTCAGGCGCTGCTTTCGTTGCCAGCGCCCCGCGATCAATAGCCACACCGACAGTGGCTGGAGTCAAGGACGGGATCTTAACGCAGTGCGATACATGCACTCCTGAGCACACGCAGAGCCCTCATCTGAGGCTGCGCAGACGCCAAAACCAGACTTTCAGGCGGCAAAGGGGCTGAACGAGAGTGTGAAAGCAAAGGGTCGGGCTAGACGAGTCTCGGTGTGTTGAAAAAGTCGTAGTAGTAGAGTAGTAGTAGTAGTAGTCGTCGTCGTCGTAGTCGGCGTCGTAGTAGTAGTAGTAGTAGTAGTAGTAATAGTAGTAGTAGTAGTAGTAGTAGTAGTAGCAGTAGCAGTAGCAGTAGCAGTAGCAGTAGCAGTAGCAGTAGCAGTAGCAGTAGCAGTAGCAGTAGCAGTAGCAGTAGTAGTAGTAGTAGTAGTAGTAGTAGTAGTAGTAGTAGTAGTAGTAGTAGTAGTAGTAGTAGTAGTAGTAGTAGTGTAGCAGTAGCAGTAGCAGCAGCAGCAGCAGTAGCAGTAGCAGTAGCAGTAGCAGTAGTAGGAGAAGAAAGTAGTAGTAGTAGTAGTAGTAGTAGTAGTAGTAGTAGTAGTAGTAGTAGTAGTAGTAGCAGCTCTGGCATTTAGGACAATGGAGAAACAAGCGGAGTGTAGAGCTGATGGGTGGCAGTAGCACTGCAATGGTAGTCGTCCTTCAGCATGAAACTGCGTGCCATCAAGCCCCTGATTGAGACTGCAAGCGCGTCATTTGCTGGCCTGGGAGTGACTGCTGGCGTGGTGGCCGTCGCTGCGGGCGCCGCAATTGTTCGGCGTTCCCTCGTCGCGCGGCAACTTCGTTTGGCAGGGCAGGACAGATTCCAGATTCCGACATGCTGGATTTTGCCCACTTTGCTTCGCGAACATGTCACATGAACTACTTGTAATCATGAAAACCTCTTGTCGGTCAGCTCCAAGATGCCGTGCAAAATTGAATTGATCGTGAGGACATTCCGCGCAGCCTGGCCACATCGTTCTTGAAGGACCATTCAGGAATCCGTATGTTCCCTCCGTGTGCAGGACAAGCCGCAGAGCAACGGAGATCGTTGCGAAATGTGATGAAACCGCTGCCAGATATGTTTGGGTCCCTGCCGAGGTAACAAGCAGCTGGCCTTCGCGTTGATTTGTAGCATCTTCGGCCTTGGCAGGACAACAGCCTCTTAGCTGCACAGGTGCAGACTTGCATACGCAGTACTGTCAGATACATGAAGTTGTAGGAGAGGCTTTAACTCAAACTGTGTGTGACTGGTGGCAACAGCAATGCAACACTTAGCAGTAGAGCCAGACGATGTTGGCACAAAGATGCACAAAGGTTCCAGCCAAGAGAGTTGTTAGCAGATTGATTTTTTAAACTACAGATGACGGAGAGGGGAGGTTGCGTTGCCAGCGGACTTGGGCTCATGGAGACTTTCGGAAGCAAAGGTCTGGGGGTACAGAGGCCAGAGACAAAAAGTAAGTGAAGACCCATGACATCTCATGACTCCACCCAAGGCTTTCAAGATTTGCATCGACTGCGACATCGATCCTTACAAGCCTCCTGCCTTCATTCATGAGACCTGAAGTGTCACCTGGCGGCGGGATCCATTCGTTCATATGTGCACAAGCTCCGACCGTACCGTGCACATTCCCCCACGATGAGTGGGCCCATTCCTTCAGGATCGTGTCCGAGTTGTCTGAAGAGGAGGCCCGGGCTGCCAAGCGGTGTACGTTCAAGAAACAACTAAGAGCACACCAGAAGTGACAACCTCCAATCTGCGTAAGGGTTCAAGAAATCACAACAACGATGTGCCAGGAATTCCGTCTGGCTGAAGAAATGGGCAACTACGTGCTAGAGAACCCTCTGCGTCGCATGTACAAGGCGAGCCACTGCAGTCTTCGGGACCAATGAGAGAAAGTGTGCTTGGTGACATGTAGTCACAGAATATCAAAGGTCTCAGGGCTTCAAGCAATACATGGAAGCTGGCAGATGCGGTAAATCCGTACTCGACGGGCTCCGGTCGAATCGTCCAGTTTCACCTTCGTCTCCCGCAAATCGATGAGTTACATGTGAGCTCTTGAGGCAAACTGCAAGGCCTTGCTGGCCATCAAACATAGGCAGGGAAAGCGACATGCATAGGTAGAGTGCCTGTCAGCGGTGCCCCCATATTGGGTTGCAGAAGCTATCCTGCTCATCATCAGGTTATAGTTTGGCTGCATCTGCTTGTAAAGCTGGCTAATTACCAGCGTTCTGTCCTGCCAAACGCGCGTGGGAGGCGCGGCGTTCGCATGCAGAAGGGCTTGCCCGTGCACTTCCAGAGAAGTAAGACGAACAACCGCACCCTGGAGCGATCAGACCATCTGAATCCTGTGTTGCCACTCGCGCATACTCGCGCATGACTGCGACGCACACCTGTGTTACCGTGGTTGCAGACTGTCTTTGCTGGTGACCGAGGCAATGCTCGCAAGCTGAACCCCGGCCGATTCTGAGACTCTGAGACTCTTCATTGGCAGTGTAGTTTGGCCAAGACGTGCCAACACCCATTGCTATGGCCTTGCTATGGCCCCACCCTCGACATCCTTCACAGCGTCCCCAACCTCCTCAAATGCACTCAACTAGCAGACTGACATCAAGACTTGATATCAGATTTCCTCTCACACTCACACGGCGCACTTCAGCTCCGCCTGCGAGCTCCCAAAAAGCTTGCTTTCGTGGTTTGATTGTGGCCATATGCGCTGTGACCATGACCTGGCCTTTCTGCGCAGGCACTCTGCTGCGCTACTCTCTGACTGCTGGCTGCTACTAGGGATCCTTGTAGTGTTTGGAAACGCCTGAGAAATCTGGAACTGGAGGAAGGACAAATCTCAGGTTCTCTGAGGAGTTCAGGGCACATGTGGGTGTCAGATTCAGGTGCCGATGCGAGCGAAGTCACGGAACTTCGCTGTGGCAATCGGTAGTGAGCCAAGTGGGCCAAGAGAGTCTTCCACAAGCTTCGCTTCTGATTCTCTTTTCACTTGTCATTTTGGGGGTACAGCTAAGAAGCGCCAATGGGCGTTCACAAGCTTTCACTTCTTCACAGCATGTGGAGGCATCCTTTGGACACTTGTGGACAGTTTTTCCGGCCGCAGCATTTGTTTCCTCTTTCCAGAATCCCCTCATGTGTCTCAGCCGGGCGCCAGCTTCCGAGACGAACGGGCCTTGGAAACTTGCGTTGCGCATGGACTGCGGAAACACTCTGCACCAGCAGCTCAGATCAGGGCCGAGTCAGAGCATGCTCGTCAAGCCTGAGCAATGCCAAGATTCAGCTCTAAGGCTTCACACTCTGTAACATGGACAAGCATCCCATCCCATGTGTGTGTCAGTTCGTTTGCCTGTGTCATAGGCTGCCTGAGACAGCACACCGCACCAGGTGCACTTACGGTACAGCAAGTTGGAGAATTGAAGTCTGAGGCCATGTCGCTCGGATACAGCGGCGACTCGCCCCCTGCCTCACCATCGCCATCGCGGCGGGAGGTGACCTGCTGAGTGTTGACACCCCCCCCCAGCTCCCAGCATTTTTAAACTATATTGTACTATACTATACTATACTATACTATATTATACTATATGATACTATATTATACTAGATTTTGTTATATTATACCTTATTATACTATCATCCTCTTCCTCTTCAGCTCTGCGAGGCCGCAGCCAATGCCAAGAAGCACAAGGGTGGTGTGGAGCGTCTCATGCTCTCGGTCCGAGCGAAGATTGGGGATGCCTTGGACATCGACGGCCTGCCGAAGGCCTTGTCACAGTTTCAGCTCAGCTCAGCGCACTAGCTATACTATACTATATTATAGTATTTTTTTGCTGTATGAAAGTATATTATAGTATATTATACTATATTATTGTATATTATACTATATTATACTAGTTTGTACTATATTATACTATGCATGTAAGTTGGTGCTCGGAACATCTGGCCCGTCTGGCAGCTTCGTCCTTCGCGCATCGCAGGAAGCTGCGCAGCTCCTGGCCGAGGCGGAGGCGCTTCTGCGGAAAGGCCGATCCTGTCCAGGGATTCTCAGACTGGGTTTAGGGTTTAGGGTTTAGGGTCTAGGGTCTAGGGTTTAGGGTTTAGGGTTTAGGGTTTGGGGTTTAGGGTTTAGGGTTTAGGGTTTAGGGTTGCAGTAGAACAGCATGCAGCCATATACAACCCATTCTCAAGGCGAGCAAGAATTGGCGAAGCCGCGCTTGGAGCGGATAGTCGCCGGCATTGATGCTGAGGATCCTTGCCGTGCGGTTCTAGTCGGAACACGTGTTTCACTTCGCGTGAGAGACGCAGGACATGTTTCATGGCGCAGATGAACACGCAAGGCACAAAGCTCAGAGCCACAGGGAGGTCATTTTGCCAGAGATCTGTCGCGAGCCAGGCGGTATCTGATGCATACCTTCACAGATCTGGACCCTGATGCAGCTGCCGGACACCAGGTGCCACGTCATTCTGCTGCTTCCGAATTCTGACACATGACCGCCCTTGCGATGCTACAGTCTATGCTGCACTCCCTCCCGTAGCTGCTAGGCCACTTCGCCAAGTCGACGAGCATCCTTGCAGCAAATTCTTACAGTGGTTCGTAGTCTTTGGCCACAGCAGTGAGGTCGAACAGACCATGACAGCTTGCCGCAGAAAGGTGCAACCAGGCGAGACGGTTTCTTCGCCAAAGGCAAGCGCCAAACAGGCCTTGTCGGCCGTCTGCGCGCATCCAAATTGCCATTGTTGCAACCTAGCGATGGCCAGGCGCTACACGCCGAAAACGTCGCCAAGCTGCTTGAGAAGGCTTTGCAGTTACCAGGGAGATCAAGCCTCAAACTGAACAACGCCATGACCTTCAATGTCTGATGTGTAGAAGATATTCTGTCTTTGGACATTACCATCCGTACACCCTAAACCCTTAAGATTCCTATAACAAAAGCCAAGGCTACACAGCCGGGAAGCTTTGGTGTCCCTGCCAGGCCGGGCATTTTGACTTCGACGCGCTCGCCTTCGCGGCGCTGCCCGAGGTAGGATGGCTCCGGGCACACCAAGAGAGAGCATGCCCACATGGGTTTAGGGTTTAGGGTTTAGGGTTTTTGGTTTTGAGGGGTTCCGAGATTAGGGGGACCTTGTCGGGTCCTTGTTACCAGGGAATCCTACTATTGGGGGGGGGGGGGGGGGGGGGG